GGACGGGACGGGACGGGACGGGACGGGACGGGGCTGGCGGGGAGCGCCGTGCCCGGGGCCCTGGCTGCGGAGCGGGCGCTGGGCAGCCTGGCTCACGCCGTAGCGAGGAGCGGGGCCCTGGCGTCGGGATGCTTTCTGGGACCCGCGGCGCGGTGGGACGCCCCGCACACCGCGTCCTCCCTTCCGCGGTCCGGGGGAGGCCACAGACACACCCAGCGCTCGCCGCTCCCTGCTTTCGGGGCTCCGGGGCCTGCTCCAGCCCCCGTCCGGTTTGGTGACCGGTGCAAGAGGCAGTCTGCGCTCATCAACAGCGCTTCCTCGAGCAGGTGCAGCCCAGGCCGCGGGCGATGGCCCCAGCACCCGCCGCACGCCCAGCGGCAGCTGGCACCGGGTTCAACGCATGCTGCCACGCGCCTCGGCCCGGGCCACGGCCAAGAGCAGGAGCCGGGCAGAGCCGCCTCGCAGGCGTCCTCGCTCGCCCTGGCCCACAGGGCGGATCTCTGCCCCCGCTCCCTCTGCCGCCGCGTGCATGGGGCAGCGATTGGAGGCCGGAGCCTGCTGCTTCTTATTGTACTGCGGCGCTGCCTAAGAGCCCCAGCCAGGAGACTGTGCTGCGCACAGAGTTCGCAGAGACTTACACACTGCAAAAATGCAATGGCCGGGGTGTAGAGAGTAGGCGAGCTGCAGGTACGTGTGTACACGACAGCCTTTAGCATGGGTAGAAGGCGCCACGGGGAACAGCTATTTATAACCAGCTGCCTACAACAGAGTAACCTGACGCGAGATATTTTTCAAAGCGTTATTGCCTGAGAAGAGACTAGTCCCCTCCCCCCTCCCCAGGGCTGCACACAAGTTGGCCGCCTTCTGAAAGCTGTCTTCTGGCCCCTGGTTTTGCAAATGATCTCGGATTTGGGAGCTCAGGCCAGATACAAGCATCGCTCTCAGGATCCACGCCGGCTTTTGAGAAGTATCTCCAGGGGTCTCTCTTCTCTTAGGCTCTGTTTAATTTTGGAAACTAGAGTATTTTTTTACGACCCAGGATCTTTGTTCTCGTTTCAGTCCGCGAAGGGACTGACACTTGTTACAGGATAAGTCACTGAGTGGCGTGAAGTAATTGTTTCCAACCATTTAGGCTTGTTACATCGTTCGCCGGCCTTTCCGATGCCTCTGGCAGCCTCATGTAAGGCCAAAATAACGCGAAGTCCTTGCGTTCCGGTTCCTCAAGAAAACCAGAGCTCAGAGCAGTCCTGCGGTCTTTATTCAGGCAGGGCTCCCGTTGTCTTCAGCTGCCTGGGTAAAGACTCCACGAGCAGGCTCTTCACATTGTTTGGGCTCCATAAATCTTCCTGTAGCAAAGGCAGGGGGAGGGGGAGAGAGGCGAGGAAAGGAGCAGAAATACTGTGCCAGCGCTGCCACATTTGGGTGCTCTCTCCCGCAGGTAGGAGGGCTCGGACGAGCACTTCTAAGAACTGTAAAGCAGAAATAAACAGGAAGCAGCCGCTCCTAATCAAGACTTTTAAGACAACGCCAAAATTCCCGTTGGGTTTAGACGAAATGAGGGTCCCGCACAAATGAAGGATCTCGCCTGCGCTGGGCTGGGTCGCACAGTTAGGGAGCGTCACTGCAGTCAGGGCAGCTCGGTGTCGCGCGTGTGCCCGGCCCGGCCCGGCCCGCTCCAGCCTCGCGCTGCAAACTCCCGTCGAGTTTAATGCGGGGGAGGGAAGGAGGGGATGAAGTCTGTGCTGCAGGGTCGGCCTCGGCACGAATAGCAGAGGGGCTTCTCCAGACTGCGCTGTTGTTCCGACATCATGCGCGAAAGGAAACATTTGGTAATAAAATATTTTAATTCGCCACTTGCTCAAAAGGCGGGTAAACTGTTGTCAATGTGGGAAGAGGCTCAGTGTTGTCATCTTTAGGGAGAGCTGAATCAAACTCCTCGAAAGTATTCCCTTTAGGGGTGAGAACAATTAGAAACAACAGGATTTGCTTATTACTAATTACTCTCTTTAAGACCTAAGGGACCGATCTATGAAGCCCCTGACGGCCAGGGGACGGACCGTGGTGCCTGGCCGGCTTGTTCAGCCTCTCGGCAAACTTCACACAGTGCTGCGTGGAGAAGGGGGCGTTGGTGCGTTGTCCCCTGCAGCTCCTGGTTAATCCCCTGCACCTTGGAAAAAGATCCCCGGCAAACACAACGTTATTTTAGTGACACGGCGAGGGGGCTTCAGACAGGAAAGTATCGAAGAACTTAGGAATTTAAACCGATGTCTGAGCGATTTGGGGAGCAAAAGTGAAATACCCGGTGCTAGGATGCACGTGCCCATGATCACGTTTCCCCAGATATACCAGCGTCAATATTTTCAGGGTTGTTTTAATGGGAAACCTACATCAGCTTATGTTACAAATGTAATTAACAGAAAAACAGCTTTTACCAGCTACATTGGAGAAGGCTGAGGGTCAGAGGCTGCCTTATCCATTAGCTGAAATGCCACTAATGTTGTGGGGAAAAGGTAAGAATGACAGTCCTTCCTCCCTAACCATGCACACACGCACCCACACATCCATACATTCTGTACCTATCCACACGCATGTGTATGTACACGCATATATGTATAAACATACACACATATATGTCTATACGTTGTGTATATGTACATATGCAGGCATATATATGTGTACATATGTAAGCACCTAGACATATATACGGATATCTATCTATCTAGTGTGTGCGTGCGTGCGCATGCACGTGGGCATATTTGGATGTCTGTCTTGCTGGGACCCTATGACCCCTGCTGACTTCCTGCCCTTTGGGCAGGGAGCTGGACTCGATGATCTTCCGAGATCCCTTCCAGCCCTAATGTCTATGAATCTATGAATATATGTATTGGCATATATATGGCATATTGCATGTAACAGAGCTGGCAGAAGAAGCTTTTCACTTACTCTGAGGTCGGCCCGGAATAAACTCTGAGCAGAGGCCCCTGTCTTGCACATCCTGTCCGGCCAGGGACAGGAATATGTGTTTTCCAGCTCCTGGTGAAATACCCCAGTCCTCACTCTACAGAACTCCAGTTAGTTTAATCAGGGGTCTTGCTCGCTGGAATAGGCCCTTCTGGAGGACACAGAACTTTGCTTGAAGGTGTGTCGCGCTGCTGCCTGTTTGTGAGCAAGCTCTGTTTACAGTAAATTGCAGAATGAAAGGGGTTAAGGGTGAAAAAAGCTCATCACATCCCTCCTTCCGCTCCCCTTCAAGCCAAGCGAAGAGGAAGGAATGATGCCTACATCCCTAGTTAGTTAAGCAGGAAGACCAGGAGGGTGTGAGGAGCACTCCCGAGTCTTCCTGGGACAGCATTTGAGGTGTGGGGTTTATACAGCCTGCTCCGTTGCAGGGGACGTGGGTCAAGAGACTTGGGCTCCATTCCCCGCTCTGCCACTGACTCCTTCCCTAACCTTGGGGGCATTACTTAGCATCTCTGTGCTTCAGTTTCCCCAGCTGCGCAGAATAAGAGTATTTACCCCCCTTGTGCATCACCTAAGAACAACAGTTCTCCAGAGTGACGTTATCCTTGCTTTAATTACTAATGGGGTTTACACACACCCATGCACAGCTCGGGACTGTGTGATAACAGGAAATGAGCACGTGTGTCTGTATGTACCAGCCCACCCACTGGACCGTCGCAAAGAGAGCACATTGTCATGTAGGACTCCGACCCTTCAGCCGCCCAGGAAAGCTTAAATTATGAATCCGTCTAAACGCAATGAACGAAAACAAGCTGACACAGTCGGGCAGTTTGGGGAGGGAAAGTCACGAGAGCCTGGGTCAAACACAACAGTGAGCGTGTGGCAGACAGTGTATCAGCCAGGATCAGAATGACTTGTTTTACTGTGAAAAGAAAAAGAAAGAACTGTAACCCTGCTTTTTTCACCCACATCCTTTCAGTTAAGATTTCAAGCGGTCTTTGAGGTCATGAGGCAGTCTGCCGGGTTTCTTTCTGGGATTTGGTTTCTGGTAGGACTTGTCTTCCTTCACCTTTAGGCTATTCGTCAAGTTCAAGAATATGCTCGAAGCAAGTCCAACAGGTTTGTTTAAAACCCAGCTCGGACCACCTGTCTCTAAAGCAGCACATGGCAAAACAGCACAGCGGAGTGCGGCTTGCTACGAGCTATCTACAATCTGCTGTTGCTTAGGACAAGAAGAAATAATCTATTGATTTAGTCGCTAACAGAAAAAAAAATCCTTTTCTGTACTGTGGAAGAAAAAAAACCACTTGGTAACTCAGTGGGGAAAAAGGTCAAGTTACTATTGACAAGTATGTAAAGACATCTTCTAAACCATGGGAAAACATGTATAAATTGTTTCGACTCACTGCATTCAAAACCAATGGAAGTGAATTACAAAACTGCACTTCTTGCATTGTTGGACTGAAAGGGTATCTATTTATCATCTCATAAGACAGCTCGAATGATCTTTATCTGCTTTGCCCACTTTCTGACCCAAATTCAGGGTTTTTATGGAAAATTGCAGTCAGTTTGATTGATGAAATCCAAAGATGTCTAAAATGGCACCAAAGATCTCCAACTGTGCAGACTCCAACCGAGGGCTTCAATGTTGGCATTGTTCCTGCAAAAAAAGTTCAGAAAACGAGCAAAAGTTAGGGAATTTCTGTTTAAAAACTTCAAATTTCAATGCAGATCCCAAACCTATTATCCCTATTCACAGGGCGAGCTGTGTGAACAGAAAAGTATTTCCCACACATTTCAGCAACAACAAAAAACCTTAATTTTAAACCATGCAATAAACCTGCTTTGTAAAGCGCTGAATAAGTCTACGGCAAAATAGCCTGCCTCGTTTAGCAATGCAATCTTTTACATCGGGAGAAGGGGAACTGTGCATGTTAAAAACCCCGCGAAATAAAATATCTGCTTTTATGACCTGAAATTAAATACGCTGGAGTCCTAATTGCAGTTTCATTTTAAAACCCAGATGTAGCTTAAATGTAATGATGCGTGTTTTAAAGCAGCTATTTCCTTGTGAGAAGCTCAGTCCCAGCTTCCCTTATTAACGTTGTAAAACGAAGCCCGTCATAATTTAGCTGGTAACACATTTCACTCTGGGCTGCAAACTTTCTATATAAATGATGGCTCGCCGCCTCTTGGATCGGGCTAAAACCAACTGGGAAGGAGCTGTGGTGCTCACTGCGGCGCTTCCTGAACAATCCCAGTGTTGTTCAACTACAGATTTGTTTGTTAGTAGCTCCCCTGTCTCGTTTAGAGCCAATGCATTATTGTGGAATATTGTCACCTGCCTAATTGTTCTAAATGGCCACCTCCTATTATTAATAATAGCTGGAACGTGGCTCCTAGACATGTTACTAAGGCTGGGAAGCTGATGAATGAAACCCCTACTAGGGCAAAATCTTGGTAGCTGTCTTCTGTCGCATTACCCAAGGGGGCTGACTATAAATCTTCCTTCATTTTAACCACGTTTACCCTCATACTCCTCCAGGCTAGGGATGCTGTGTTAAGATTGCACTGATGTGCCAATGCTTTGGACCAGCTGCTCCTAAATACAGACAAGTCCTTGTCAATTAAGCCATTGAGGAGCAGGTCCTTGGAGCCCTGGGGCATTTTAGCAGCCAGCAGTGTGCAGCCCCAACAATTAGTATCCATTTTGAAGGGACCTCCAGGGCACAAATGCACAGGCAGGGAAGAATCAAAACACCAGGCAACTTCAATTCTGGAAATTGGTCACATAATGATACTGAACAGACCGGCTACAAGAAGCCAATCTTTCTTGGGGAGGACATTTATTCCTTTACATATTCTCTCCATCAGCCAAGCTGCATGTCCCAGGCATGCAGCAAAGTGTGGAATTAGGAGAGATAAATGAACACATTCATTTGCCTGTGTGAGCTGAAGTTTCCTTTGCGGTTCTTTGTAACTCGGTGTCACCTCAAGCAGCTGGTGGCATGCAGTGCTCCCATGATCCTGGCCTTTGGCCCAGGAGGAGCTGGACAAGGCAACCCGCTCCAAGGAGAAGAGCTGCGATGTCTCAGGTCAGAAAGGCCAAACTGCCAGTAGGACAGGGCGAGCATTAGGAGTTCAGCTAAACAAAACCCCAAAGAGACTAGGAAGCCTAGGGGATCATTAGGGAAGGTGTTTGTTTAAGTCATTAGGAAGTTGGTAGCTAAGGGAAAAAAAGCTTGTTATACAAGGCACCTTATCAGAATAGCAAGGTTGGGAATGCATAGAATATCACAGCACAAGACTATGTGACCCTACCAAGTTCAACAACAGAGCAAACAGCACATGCCATTAGGGACAGCAGTCAACTGGGAGGTAACAAAGCCGGGAGAGCATTGGAAAAAATGTTGCAGTATTAAATATGGAAAAGTATGGAGACAGGGGCAGGGGGTCAATAAAAGTCAACAAGAGAGCAGGCTTAATGATAGAAGGAATTTAATATAAAAAATACATAAATCTGCGTGGGAGGGCAGCTTGAGAATAGCTAGAAAAGAAGTCACTGTTGGAGTCAACATTCACTTGGTAATCGCTACATAATGGATCCTACCAGGTTGTTAACATTTAACACAAAAGTTAACAGGAGAAGAAAAGAAGAAAGGGTGGCTCCTTTCGTTGCGGGTCCGCGGGGAGATTTCCATCTGTCACGCCACACGGGGAGCACCACAGCCGCTTCCCCGGGGGCTCTGCGGGACGGGGCAGGAAGGACCCTGCCTCGTCCACCCCTTCGCTTCACTCCTCGTACTCCTTTTCCAGGCTCCCGCCGCGGCCCGCGCCGAGCGGCAGGGACAACGCTCGCGGTGCGCCGGCCTTGGCTGGAGAGCCCAGCCCGGCCCCAGGCTCCGCGGCTGAACCAGGCCACGCATGGGAGCGGCCCCTGGAGCTCGTTGCAGACGGGTCCAGGTGGCAACGCGCAGAGTGAAGTGGGACTATACAGTGCTGCTTTATTTGGCCGAGTGACACAAGACAAGACTCCTGACAATACATCGCAGGCGCTCCTTGCGGCGCGCGGCTGGGCATGCCCCGGGCCCGGGCAGCGCCGGCTGCGGCCTAGTCCCAGCTCAAGCAGGCGACGCCTGATCGGGCCCAGGCCTGGCCCGTGCATAGAGAGGGGCACTGCCTGCAGCCCCAGGGAGCCGGGCCGCTGGGGCTGTGCGGCGGGGCGCGTGGGGCTCCAGCCTGGGCCAGGCCGGGTGCGGGGACCTGGGGGCCGCAGCTCGTCCCGAGGAGCCCGCGGCGGGGGCCGGAA